AAAGACAGTAATGCTCACAAGATCACACACAGCAGCAACTGTACCCCACACTTAAAGCCAGTCCTGTCCATCTCTCAAACCAAAGCCGCAAGGCCTTACCGTCCCACTCCACTGACCCCTGGCCCAGCCCCCGGCCTGCCCTGACTCACCAGACCCCGGGGTACGGCAGAGGAAACACAGGTACCCCCACATGCCTCTGTCACCCACAAGGCCGCTGCCTCAGATGCTCTCCGCTCTCTGAGCTGGGGCCAGGCTGAGACTGGGGGATTACCCCCAAAGCTATAGTCAGCAGCTTCTGTCCCATTGTCCATCCAGGTCCCAGGGCTGCACCCTGGCCCCTCACACTGGCTTGGGTGGCCTCTCTGTGGACCCTCCTGTCACCCCATACGGAGGTCTCTGGGCCTATGCTGGGGGTATGGGGTCAGGAACAGGGTGGCGGGATCCCAGCATGCTGGGGCCACCCCCTTCCTCTGTGAAATGCCCCCTGCCCACTCTGAGCCACTGGGGAGGCTGGAATGTGCTGAGGTCTGGGAAATGCCTTCCAGCTCTGGCAGGCGCCAAGTGACAGGGTGTGGCCAGAATCTAGCCAGCACCATCCTGGAAAGAAGAGGGGTTGCTGCTGGTGAGCGTATGAACCTCACTTAACCGGATCCTCTCTTTCCTGTAGTCATAGAAACACCCAGGCTTCCATTGGTTCATTTATTCATAGTGGCAGCAGGGATCCAGCACAATCACAGCACTTAGGAGTTCAAGATCACCCTGAGCTATATTCTAAGTTCAAGGCCAGCCTGGGCTACATGAAACCCTGTCTCAAAAACCAAAACAACAAACAAAAGTGAAGGAAGTTAGGACATGCTGTGCTGTCCTCTCCATTTCTCTCAGAAAACAGAAGTCCCCTTAGGGCACTACTGTGTAGCCCTGGTTGGCCTGGAATTCCGTATTTAGACCAGGCTAGCCTCAGACTCAGAGACTTACCTGCCTTTGTGTCTTGTGCTGCGGCTAAAGGCCTGTGGCACCCTGTCCAGCTTCACCACTTCCTTTGAGTTTTTTGTTGTTGTTGTTTTGATTTTGTTGTTTTTTTTTTAAAGAGCCAACTTTTTTTTTAAGATTTTATTTATTTATTATGTATACAACATTCTGCTTCCATGTATATCTGCACACCAGAAGAGGGCACCAGATCTCATAACGGATGGTTGTGAGCCACCATGTGGTTGCTGGGAACTGAACTTAGGACCTCTGGAAGAGCAGTCGGTGCTCTTAACCTCTGAGCCATCTCTCCAGCCCTTGATTTTGTTTTTCTAGACAGGTTTTCTCTGTGTAGTCTTGGCTGTTCTGGAACTCGCTCTGTAGACCAGACTGGCCACGAACTCACAGAGATCCCCCTGCCTCTGCCTCCTGAGTGTGTTCTGGGGTTAAAAGTGTGTGCCAACACCACCTGGCTTCCCTCAAATTTTAAAAAATGTGTATTTACTATTGTTGTATTTAATTGGTGGTGGTGGCATTGGTAGTATCTGTCTGTCTTTCCCACACGGTCTTAATCCGTTTCCTGGCTCGATGTACCTTATGAATGTGTCTGTCTAGCTCTTGGTCCTTCATGTCTGTCCTTATCCTGTGCCTATTTCCTCTTTTCTTGTCTCCCCATCTCTGTCTCTATGTCTTCCTCTCTCTCTGTTTTGTTTTCCCTAACCTAAGAGGTGTGGTCATGGGAAGCTGAGTTTATGGGGGTGGCAACAGCCCAGGCCACCTCTGTAAACACAGGACATCCTGTGAGATGAAAGGGGATTCGGAGAGGTAGAAGAGGCCCTCGTGGGACCACCCTCTCCTGACCCAGCCCGAGCCATGCAGGATCCTGGTGCCCAGCTCAGTCCAGGAACACTAAAGTCTCCCTCGTCCCACACATCAGGATCTTTCCTCCCTGCTGACTCTCTCTGGACTCCAGTCCCAGGAACCCACTCCTTTTCCTTGCTAGTCACAGCCTCCTACACACATGGTGTCCTTCCATGGGCTCAAGTACTAACCCCAGGCCGACTTCTGGTACTTACTCTTGTAGCTGGTCCTACTGTCCCCAGTAGCTCCATCCTACAGCGGGCCCCGTGGTGTCCTTACTGTCCCTTTGTCACCTTTCCCTCCCTATGGCTGTTCCTCCCTGGGAACCCTACCGTGGGCTCCTGAGTGCCGGTGTGACCTCACACACCATGTCTATGTGCAGCTGGCAACATCCAGAAATTATTGGCTTTCTGGTATTTTCACAGTGAAGTTTCTTTTTGTGTCTGTGTGCCCTGGCCCCTGCCTCCCTCTTGTCTGCATCTCATCATTGAATTTACAGCTTTCCTTCCTCAATCAAGACAAACTCAGGGGCACTCCTTTAGTCCCAGCAGAGGCAGGCAGATCTCTGTGAGTTCCAGACCAGCCTGGTCTACAAGAGCTAATTCCAGGACAGCCTCCAAGGCCACAGAGAAACCCTGTCTTGAAAACCCCTCCCCCCCAAAAAAAAACCAAACAACACAAACTCAGCTTTTTAGAGACCCCTGAAAACATAAGGTCCATCATTTCTCAGCCCGTATAAGTCTTCCTCTCTCTAAAGCAACAACCCTCTAACTATCCCAATTTTCAGAAAACTGGGTGGTTCCAAAAAGGTAGGCCATCCCCAGAGTGGCAAAGTTGGGGTTTAAACCCAGATGGGAGCCACGTCTTGGTGGTGCAGGTCTGTAGCTCCAAGAGTTAAGAGGTTGAGGCTGGATGATCAAGAGGGCAGCCTGGACTACAAACTAAACAGTAAAGCGGCGGCACACACCTTTAATCTCAGCATTCAGGGGACTGAGCTAGAAGCCATCCTGGTCTGTGAGTTCCAGAACCACCAGGGCTATTCAGAGAGACCCTGCTGCAAAAGAAAAAAAAAGGGGGGGGATGGGAGGCTGGGAGTATGGCTCAGTGGTAAAGTGCCTAGCTTATCTAGCATGTGTGGAGCCCTAGGTTAGTCCCCAACACCACGGCAAACAAACACACGGACCCAGTTTTTGAGCACCTCTTTCCTGTCCCATGCTTTGCTTGAAGCTCATGGCTTCAACAGCATCTGTGAGAGCATCAAATCATTTTCCCTCGTGGCTGATGCTCCTTGCCCCCAGTGCCTCTTACGGCTGTAAAGGTTGCATGCCATGCATGGGTTCCATCTTTAAGGGGCATTTCTCAGGTACCACGAGTTTACAACTGTGCAAATGAAGGTCAAGAGTCTGCCTGAAGGAAAGGGCTTGGGTTCTGTACAAAAGGACATCCTCAGGACCATCATGCTGGAGCCTTGATGATGTTTTTGTACCTGAGGTCCTGTCCCCTTTCTCCTCACGGCAGACCTCAGCATGGCTCTATAGACTCTAAGGTACAGCTGACGCTCAGGTTCCTCTCCAGAAGGGCACGCCTCCTCAGCCAGCAGATTCCAGGGCCCACTGCATTCCAAGCAAAGTGCTGGCCCTGTGACTCCTTTTCACACAGCCATTGTACATTCAGGGCTATGACACCCCCAGGGCAGCTCCCCTCCACAGGCATTCGCCAGCAAGACAAACTGTCCTCAGCCACCTTCTCCTCCCTCTTTCTTTATTTCAGTGGTTATGAACACCCACTGTGTACACAACCCTCTGTAAAAGGTACATGTAAGCCTGGAGGCAGAGGAAAGAGACTGACAGGAGTTCAAGGTCTGTGGACACCCTGCTTCGGAAAAACAGCCTGACGTGGTGGCACCTGCCTTTAAACTCAACGCTCAGGAGACAGAGGCAGGTGGATCCCTGTAAATTCAAGGCTATCCTGGCCTATGTATGGAGTTTCAAGGCTGTGAGGACTACTCGAAAAACTATAATAAACAAACAAACAGGCTAGCATGGGCTACGTAGTAAGTTTAAGGCCAGCCTGCTGGTATACAAAGTGTCAAATCTATCTCAAAACCCACAGCTGTCATCTCAGCTTGTAAGGAGGTGGCGGCAGATGGTCCAGGAGTTCAAGGCCAGCCTCCATTACACAGTGAGCTAGAGGCCATGTAGGCTACTTGACCCTCGTCACAGAAAAAAAAGCGGGGAGACCCACACCATACTGATCACTGTCGTCGTAGCTCTCCAAACCAGGCACAAGGGGGAGCAACAGAGCTCAGCCTGCGCGCCCCAGGTCTCGGCGAGGGGCCGTCGATGTCGTGTGGTCTAGGCACGGAGTCTCAGGGTTTGGGTTCGGGAGCTCAGAGGATCCTTAACCTGGCAGCGGCTCCCTGCACCCATGTCCCTCCGCTTCTCCTGGTGGCCCTCCTCAGCCACTTCCAGAAATGGGCACAGCTTCCTCCACTCCTCCAGGAAGCCAAGCTCCGCCCCCCCCTTCCCGGCCCCTGGGGCTGCGAGCAGCTCCCGCCTCTCCGGCTCCACCCTGGCCTCCGTCTTGGAGCTTCCGGCCCCTAGGGAGGCAGGAGTGGCCCTCCCGTGTCACTGTCCCCGGATCCGGGACCCATCCTGCCCTTTGGGTGGCAGTCCAGCCCCAGGCTCCTCCCTCCCTCCCTGCCTGGCCTCCCCTCCCCACCCCACCATCCTTCCGCTCCCCGGGCTCTGCCCTGCCCTGCCCTGCCCCCACAGCCGCCAGGAAGGACGCAGCCTGGGTCCCGTGCCAGGGCCGTGAGTGTGCGGCCCCTCCCAGCGGGGCCAGGAATGCAGCTGGACCGCGGGGGCGGCCGCAGACACTCGGCTCCGTCCGGGCCCAGCATTGCGCTCAGGCAGGCAGGTGGCCCCGGCTTGCCCGGACCAGGCCTGCTTCGAGAAAGCGAGCAAGCCAGCTGCCTATCTCTGGAGGTCCTGCCTTCTCTCCACCAAGCTTGGTGGCTTTATTTTGGGAGACCTGAAATTTCCTGCCCTTTGCTCAGATATTTCGTGCCGGACGTGCGTTTATTCCACTGTAACTGTGGGTGTGTCACGGGATTTTGAGTTTAATAGTTATTTCATCCTTGATGGGTACCGATGCAAAAGAAGCACACAGACTTGATATTTCCCAAAGCTGGTTTTAATTTCAAAAAATGATGAGGTCTCTTTCCCCACACTGGGGATAATGGGATGGGACAGCCCAGACTATCATCCCAGGGGATCTGTCCAACCCCCCTGGCTTGGGCCTGGCCCAAACACATTGCAGCCACCACCGCGTCCTGTCATGCCACTTATTTCAAACTCCCTCATTGGCCAAGACAGGTGGTTGGAGGTGAAGCTGCCCAGGACTCAGTACTGTCTCTCCAAAGTGACCCTGGCCCCTCTGCAAAGGAAAGCCACCGTATCATGGCAAGGTGGACTGATCAGGCTCAACTCAGACGCAGCCAACCATTCCTGGGTCTGGTTGTCAGCGCCCAGGCCCCGGTGGCCTTTCTAGTGCCTGTGTGCCTACTAGTACGTCCATGAGGTAGTCCAATTCAGCCTCGTCCAACTCTGGAGTTTCCTCCTTGGCTGGTCCATTCTCAGGGCCAGGTTTGAGACCCTCAGAGGCTGGTACCCAAAGTTCACTGTCATACATGGAAGTATCAATGTCCTCAAACAAGCCCTCCAGCCCATCGTCCAGCAGACAGCCGGTGGCTGGGCCTAGCAGGTCCAAGGCACCCAGGTTGGGCGGGACACCACCAACTGAGCGGCCTGGAGGCCCCTCATCGGCTTGGGGTTGGGGGACCTGGTTCAGGTCTTCAATGTGGTTGAGATCTTCCAGGAGGCTGGCCATGGAGGCTGAGAGGGCAGCGTCCGAGCTAGCCAGGAGGCTGTCTGCCACAGAGGGGGCTGTGGGTGGCATGGACACGGGTGGCAGGGAGGTTGTAGGTTCCATGGACTCCTGGATACGGCGCAGCGTGTTCACCACCAGCACCAGGTGGCGGAGGTCTGGCTCACCCTGCCGCAGGCTGTGATGGAGCTTGAGCACCGAGAGGTCAAAGAGAGAACTGGAAGCCACGGGCGGGGGGGTCTGTGCCGCTGCTGGGTGGCCTTGATCTAACCACCAGGAGTCCACCGAGAGGCCTTCCTCCTCCTTCTTCTCCTCCTCCTCCCGTTTTCGCTTTAGACCCTTGCTCAGCATTGTCTGCAGGGAGGAAGGAGCCATTCAGTTAGGGAAAGTCAATATTCAGGTCACACCCAGCTCTGACAACTGCTGTCAGCGTGAGCTTCACAAGGCAACTAACCTCCCAGTCCAGGTTTTCTAAGCAAATTCTTCCTCATTTTTAATGAGACAGGATCACACAACTCAGGCTGGCCTCGAGTTTATGATCATCTCTTACCCACAGCCCCCGTGCTGGGACTACAGGTGTATGCCACCACGCTTGGTATACTGGATGCTGGGGATGGAACTCAGGGCTTTCTGCATGTAAAGCAAACATTCCACCAACTGAGCCTGCTCAGTAAAGTTCTAAGAAACAGCTAACATCTACATTGTAAGTTGCTATATGGATTAGATTAACAAAAGAATAAAAAGCCCTTGCATCATGGTCTTTAGAACTTTCAAATTTTACTTTTATTTTATTTTTATTTTCTGGTTTTTCAAGACAAGGTTTCTCTGTATTGCTTTGGAGCCTGTCCTGGAACTCACTCTGTAGACCAGGCTGGCCTTGAACTCAGAGATCCGCCTGCCTCTGCCTCCCGAGTGCTGGGATTAAAGGCATGAGCTACAAATGCCTGGCTAATTTTACTTTTATTTTAAATTTTGTGGTGTGTGTGTGTGTATATGCACGAGAGTGTAGATGCCCAAGGAAGCCACCTGTTGGAGTCCCTGGAGCTGGAGTTACAGCAATTATAAGCCATTCCATTTGGGTGCTGGGAATCTCTTGCGTCCTCTGTAGCAATAGCAAGCTCTTTTTTTGGGGGGGGTGGGGTGCAGTTTTGAGACAGGGTTTCTCTGTGGCTTTGGAGGCTGTCCTGGAACTAGCAATAGCAAGCTCTTAACAACCATAGTATTTATTTGTAAGTACTTTTTGGTTTTGCTCTTTTTTATTATTTATTTATTTATTTATTTTGGTTTTTCGAGACAGGGCTTCTCTGTAGCTTTGGAGCCGGTCCTGGAACTCACTCTATAGATCAGGCTGGCCTCAAAACTCTAGAGATCTGCCTGCCTCTGCCTCCTGAGTGCTGGGATTAAAGATGTGTGGCAGTGCCTGGATGGTTTTGCTCCAGGTTTTGTGACAGGGCCTCACACTGTAGTTAGTCCAGGCTGGCTGGCTATCCCAGGCAGTCCTTTTGCCCCAGCCTCCCAAGGGTTAGGATTACAGGTAGGTGCCGCCTCTTGGCTGGAAATGCAGCCTACTTGTACAGTTCAAGGCATAGAATGTCTGCTTGGCATCAAACATTATTTAATCCAATAGAGGGAATGCACAGATAGCGATAGGAGGTACTTTGGGCAGTTTCTGTAAAGGAGATACTTCGGATCTGATGTATGCAGTGTAGACGACAGCTATGGAGAACCAGGGGCCGGGCATTCCCGGAAGAGCCAATGGAAGACCGAGAGAGGCAAATCTTAACCGGGGAAGGAAAAAAAAAGAAAAAAGAAAAAAGAAAACCCACACAAGGAGCAAGCGCACAGAG